ATTTATATACATATTTACATATACGTATACATATATATATACATACACATACATATATATATATATATTATATTATATTATATTGTATATATATCTATATTATATTATATATATATCTATATCTATATTATATTATATATATATATATATATCCTTATTTATATATATATAAATTTACATATGTAAATTTATAACTATATTATAGATTATATATATTATGTATAAGTATATATATATATATAAATATAAATATAATTCGTTATCTATTATATATATTTATATACACATACACACACACACATATATATCTATATCTTTATCTATATCTATAATTACACATTTTTTCACGGGGTTAGTGATATATATGTAGGTAAACTGTCGATAACGGCGCTATATCTTTTATGATATCATATTTCGAATCTTTCGACTTGATTAGTTTTGTCTGAATGCTAGGTTTTCGTTGCACTTTGGACATTCGAACGGGGGGGGGTGTTCTACGCATGCTGATATGTATTCAATTCGCTACCATATCTTAGTGATCACGATGCATATTATCTTTTATGCAAGTATTGCACATTCATATGTTAGTGCGCACAAGTATGTGGATGCCTACATTGAAATTATACGTTTCATCCGTTTGGATGTATGACTGACTACAACTTGTCATGTACAGCAAATTCTGTATAGTGTTCCGCTCGTTCATGCCCAATCACTCTTTTTTCGCGATTGTCGTGACGCCAACATACAACATACATCAATTTATGTTGGCGACCATCCACGTTTTAGATAAGTTTAAGATACGAATTGATTTTCCTTCCCTGTATGCAATTTCTCACTCATGATCGTAACCACTCTTGTGCAGAAGCAAACCCCCGGAGGAAAGATGACGAAATCTGCTCACCCCGCACGATTCTCGCCGGACGACCAATTTTCCCGTCACCGCGTTACGTTGAAGAAGAGGTTCAACCTACTACCAACTCAGAAGCCTGGTTACAAGTACTAGGTAGCACTTGTTGTATTCTGGAACAGAAGATTGGTGCTAAATGGCCAAATTCAAACATATAACCCGTGGATGACACTGCTGAAATTGCCGCGTAATGGAGAAACTGTTTCGCGCTCGTCGGCGCTAGTGGGGCAATGCTATATTCACTCGTGACGAGGGCACACAAGATATTGGAGATGAAATAATTTATATGTACATAAAGATCGGATAAATGAAGTTGAGTGAACGTGCAGTCACGTGTCAATTTTGCAACTGTTTATGATTCAGCTAGAACTATTGAACTAAGCTGACTATAATAATTTCCGCTTGTACTGTCTGCTGAAATTCATCTTTTGTGTTTTGCCGCTACTATGCATATATTATCTATTCTATCCGCTTCTATGCATACATTGTCTAATATATCCACTACTATGGATATGTCATCTATTATATCCGCTTCCATGCATGTAATAGATTTTTGTACAGAATCCAGTTCTCGAGTGAAAATGTTCAAATAATGTCCCGCGGAACTATTACCCCTTAGTATGCGAACATCTACTTATGAATGTTCTCAAGCTCACTATATATTATATCCGTTTTTATGCATACAATATCTAGTATATCCGCTTCTACTTATCAATATATAATCTAATATATCTGTTTTTATGCATATGTTATCTATTTCAAATATACAAGTTTATTTTCGAGATATTTCCTGAATGATGATGGGAATGTAACTGACCATAAGTACCAGAAATACGGCTATAATTCCTCTCTAGTCTTGCGAGTTGTGACTCTCGTCCGACTCATTTTGTGTTGATGATTTTTTTATTTAGAAGGCTGTGTGTGAAGAGGGATGAGTTGAATGATGATAGCTGTCTATTTAGGAGGCTATGTAGCTACATATATCGAATTGTTGAGAAAAATAATGTACTAAATAGGTGCATTTCTGCTGCTGCATAAAATCAACAGTTTGGTTTTTTAGGTAAGTCGTGGTAACTGCTTACTTAGCTGCTGGAGTAAATATTGAAGTTAAAAAAGCACTCCCAATCTCCCACATTCCCAGGCCCAGTAGTAATGTGAAATCTTGTACCAGAATGGGAAGAGTTAACTTGTTGTGAAAAGTGAAGACTGGTCTTTTTAAAAACAAAATAATATTTATGAAGAGTGAAGTACTGAAGACTGAAGACTCGAAGAGTCAACACAAGAAGAGAGAGTGAACAAAGATTGGTTTTTGTTTCAATTTTGGGGTTGGTATACGACAACGACATACACCCCTGAAAAATGTCGTCGCGACATGTATGACATGTCGTCTCGATAGGTGTATGTAGGCTACGAAACAGCCACCAGCAAACCTGCCGACACCATGTCGCGACCGATAGCGACATGTATGACATGTCGCTTTCCCAAATGTCGGCGTCGTTTATGACCAACACCAGTTTTTAAAAACGATATGTATGGATGTTTTTCTTCTTCTATTAGATGGCTAGACTTTTACAGAGTCAAGCATAACAGAAATAGATCCATAAGGCAGAATCTGATGACGGCGTGACACAATTTTGAGTATTGATGTTGTAATGTATGGCCATTTTGTTATATTTGTAGAAGGGTCGAGTAAATACATATGCGATTGTTGTAGTTAAAGTAGTGATTTTGCTCGAAGGCAACATAACCGTCAGGAGGTACTATGGGAGTGAGAGATCGAATGTCGTCGACCGCTCGCAAGTCCACAGAAGAATACGATGATGAAGGTGCGATGAAGGTGGATACTTCCTCAAGCGTGAAGAATGACAACATGACTTCAGAAATGACCGTAAAAGATATATCTGTGCTTATCTCAGAAGAGAGCAACGCGACATTATTCGACTCCAAAAGCAGTGCAAAGCTGGGCGGAGAACATCACAGCAATGAAAAGGAGAAGCTAGAGGAAGGTTAGTCGATCAGGGTAGGCTTTTTTAATCCAATTGCCACAGTATCCGTTGCACGCTGTATCGAACATTTCTGCATTTCTGATTCCTGCACCCAATACAAAGTATTTTATCATATATATATACATATATATATATATATATATATGTATATATATATATGTATGAATGTATGTATGTATGTATGTAAATATGTATGTATGTATGTATGTATGTATGTAAGTAAGTATGTATGTATGTATGTATGTATGTATGGATGGATGTATGTATGTATGTATGTATGTATGTATGTAT